ACACCTTGTTATCTCAGATTCTCCAGCATCTGCAGTTCCTACTATCTTAGAAAGATCCCTTGTTTAATCCTGAGTGTGTGCTGGTTTAGTTGACTGCAGTCAGGCAGTGATTGGAATATGAGAATTGGCTGCTGTGCCTGAGTTACAAAGTGAAGGGAAAGAGCACAATTCCTGCTATTGAATCCTCCGCTGTTAGGAGTGCATGCAAGTGTATGGAGTTCAGGTGTAGTGGCATGTACAAAGTTCAGGAACTGCAGACCCTTGCTGGGGGATAATTGGCTGCTATGGACATGTACCCCAGCAGGTTGAAATCTTCAGGGGAATAGGAAGAATGAAATTAACAAGGAGAATTAGCGAGAAAATCTAAATAAAATTGATCCAAACAGTTTGTACTCAATCCAAAAGATATTCTAAAATAGCACAAAAGAGATCCAGTTGACATGAAAAAGGAATATTACGTTGCATACCACAATTTAGATGATGAACTATTACAGCCTGATTAATAAAAACAATTTCACACTGACAGATTTAATGCACAAAAATGACAAATCCCTTTTCTTTAGCAGCCATTGTTAATAGCTCTTTGAGCAACATTTCTGAAATAAAGCCAGTTGTTGGTAAATTGCAGATAGATGAATTCCCCTGGGAGCTGGATTAAGATAATCCAAATTCCCTTTTTTTGTAGGTCTCTTAATTGCCATCTGAGAGAAGATATTTTCCTCTCAACTGTCTGCACTGGATCCTCCTCCAGGTCCCTGGAGTGTCGAGACAGATTGTAATTCACTTCACCAGCCAGCTGTCCTCTGAATAAATCAATTAACCGGCAGCTCATTTCTCAATCAATTGCATGTCGCATGAATCATTGTTTGTAGATTTTGCTTTTGTCTAAATTATAAAATAGGCAACTTTAAGATTAGGAGGCAGCCAAATGCCCAAAAACTGAACACGAGCCAGAACTCATGCACCTTAGAGCTAATAACACAGGCATCAATGGCTCCATGCGCATTATATCTACAGTTAATTTTAAAAGCTGTGACTTGCTGAATAGGTGAAAATCACATTCCAGCTTTATGCTTCAAGGCAGCAAAAAAGTCAGGTTCAAAATCTGAATGTATGGAATGCACTGCCAAAAATGTTATGGAGGCAGGTTCAACTGAGGTGTTAAAGAAGGCACTGGATGGTTATTTGGATGAAAATAATGTGCAAGGGTTTGGGGAAAAGGCAGAGATTGGCATCGGTAAGGATGCTCATTTGAAGAGCCGGTGCAACATGATGGGCTAAATGGCCTTACTCTGTGCCATAACAATTCTGTGATTGTGTGATATATTAACACAGTTATGCCGACCGCAGGAATATTGGGAAATTAATGCTTCATGTGTAATTTTATTTGATTTGTAACGATTATGGATATTCCAGATGCGCATTTTAAAGTGCATCCAATTAACTGAATTATTTTCCCCCGTTTCATGGTTATGCATGATTTCATGAGACTTTCCCAACATATTTTTGTTGACTATTTCATTAACAGTGCACAGTACATCTGGTCTGTTAACTTTGAAGATCCCAGACAGTTTTCATTGGCTTTGGCTATGTGACGAAATTCTTACCTGATGGAATTTTAGTCCATTCTGGCTTGGAATAGAATAGTATGAGTTAATCTTCAGATCCTAAGGGAGCATATTGTTGAGGTCTTGGACATTACTTTCAGAGCTTGAATGTTATGGGAGAATAGACAACATAATTGCTAATTAAGAAAAACACTAACAATAATCCAGACAAAAAGCTTATAG